GCTCGCCGACCGCATCGACGCACGCACACCATCGGAGCAACGTGCCGTTGTCAACCTGGTTGCTACACAGACCATCAAGGACGACTCCGATGAGTCACTATCAACCCACCCTGTACAGGTATGGTATACTCTTGGTTTTTGCCCATTTGTATGATGATAGATGCCTAACTATCCTGATATTGCCTCATGCAGAGCTACCTATGGGGATGGCGATGGGAGGCGGAGAGTTTGCTAAACCCCTACCTTGCCGTGCTGCCCGATATCATGCACCAGGCTGACCTGGGCATTTTTGAGCACATAGTTGATAGCATACGCGCGCACATTAAGGAGTTCTTTCCTGCAAAGATGAAGGTGCTAGATCAGCGGCTAAAATATATTAGAAAGTCATTGAGGGGGGGATGCATGAGGTTGCCGTCGGGAGAATATTTTGCAAAGGGGGCAAACTACCAAGCCTACGAGCATCGTTCAGTGATGCAAGTTATACCTTTCATAGCGAAAGGGTTCATTACCGACGATCAGATGCAGGCGTTCGTTTCATACGTCGAATGGTATTTGGAGTGTGCACGAGCGGGCGAGCACACAGAGAAAAGTCTGCTCGACTTGAAGACCAAGGCGCACCGGTGAGTGGTGTTCGTTGCAATGCTTGACACGTCTTTATCATTCACCCTCCGTGCCAAATCTGAATCATCCACTCTTTCTTGTGCAGGATGATACACGGCCTGACGTCGCATTTCAAGCAGGCATCAGATTGGAACTTCATCAAAATGCACCTGATTAGCCACTTCATAGATTCGATCCGTCGTGCAGGATTGCCAGAGCACTACTCCGCCCAGCTCTACGAGCACTTGCACATAGAGTTCATCAAAACACCATATCGCGCATCTAACAAGCGCACAGTGAACGCACAGGTTGTACAGAGCAAGGAGCAGCGCTTGCGATTGCAAGCAATCGCACCCATGCTTCGCGCGAAGAAGGCGTACGACACAGCGATGATCAAGGTGCGTGTCAGGTGGTTATTTTGTCGTGTCATTTGCATCATCATTCGTTAACACGGTTTAACGTGGTGGTAGTATTCCCATTTCTCCCGCAGGCACAAAGGACGGGCGTGCGAGTGCTCTCGCGTCGATCTTGGCTCCTCCACGTTCCCCGCGGCAGGGAGGCGGCACCTTTCTGCATCCCGAATGCGCCACAGGCGAATCGTGATGCGATGCTCGAGAAGGAAATTGGGGCTGATCTAAAACACCTGCGGACGGCGCTGAACGCAGCCCCTGGGTGCAACAACAAGGGGGAGGACATCGCGAGCATACAGGTGTGTTATGTTCATCAGTTCTACTAGTGACAAATCACCATGTCCCTTCAGTCCCTAGATGCGAATGGTTGTGATACGTACAATGTGTATTGTGTCTTCGTGTCAGGTGCATTGGGAAATGGCCATGCCATCGGCGGTCGACGCACAGTACAGCCGATTGCCTCATCGAGTGCGTGCCCTGCCGAGACACCATGGGCGGCCATGGTATTCAGACGTGGCCGTGAAGGGTGAGACAGAGGCCGGCCACGAGGAGTGGTATGCAAAGGTCCTACTGCTGTTTCACTGCAAGGTGGATGGGCAGACAAAGGAGTACGCATATATCAAGTACTATGACGTGCAACCCGCATTAGATAGCGACACCAAGTGCAAGCGCCTGAAATGGCCCCCACTTGCAGCTAGGTATCAAGTGATTGAGATACATAGCATCAAGCGGGCTGTGCATCTGATTCAGTTAGATAGGACTGTAGATATGTGGCTGGTGAACCGTTTCGCATGGTGATGTAATGCTAGACGCTGTGAATGACACCAAACTTGTCCAGCATGCTCATCGTTATACAAACATGTCGTCGCTTGATCTTCCACTATTTCTTCACACACTTCTCATCATCACCCTATTACCTAGCCATAGGATGTTATTCCATCTCGTTAGCACAACTACACAGCTCATGGAGCATGTTTGTGCGTTTGCTGGCCCGAATCTGTGCGTGGATAGGCCAGCGCGCAACATGTCACTGCGCTAACGTCTAGATGCTATTGTTTCCACTATTTCTTCACACTGTTATCCTCATCATCCTATACCTAGCCATAGGATCTGATTTCATCTCGTTTGCACAACTACACAGCTCGTGGCGCATGTTTGTGCGTTTGATGGCCTGAATCTGTGCGAGGATAGGCCTGCGCGCAACATGTCACTGCGCCAACGTCTGGATGCTGTTGTTTCCACTATTTCTTCACACAGTTCTCATCATCATCATCCTATTTCCTAGCCATAGGATCTGATTTCATCTCGTTAGCACAACTACACAGCTCGTGGCGCATGTTTGTGCGTTTGATGGCCTGAATCTGGGTGAGGATGTGCCTATGCGCAACATGTCACTGCGCTAACGTCTGGATGCTTTTTTTTCCACTATTTCTTCACACTGTTATCCTCATCATCCTATTACCTAGCCATTGGATCTGATTTCATCTCGTTTGCACAACTACACAGCTCGTGGCGCGTGTTTGTGCGTTTGATGGCCTGAATCTGCGTGAGGATGTGCCTATGCGCAACATGTCACTGCGCTAACGTCTGGATGCTTATTTTTCCACTATTTCTTCACACTGTTATCCTCATCATCCTATTACCTAGCCATTGGATCTGATTTCATCTCGTTTGCACAACTACACAGCTCGTGGCGCATGTTTGTGCATTTGCTGGCCCGAATCAGTGCAAGGATAGGCCGGCGCGCAACATGTCACTGCGCCAACGGCTGGTTGCTATTTTCTCCACAATTTATTCACACTGTTATCCTCATCATCCTATTACCTAGCCATAGGATCTGATTTCATATCGTTTGCACTACTACACAGCTGGTGGCGCATGTTTGTGCGTTTGATGGCCTGAATGTGCGTGTGGATGTGCCTTTGCGCAACATGTCACCGCGCCAACGTCTGGATGCTATTTTTTCCACTATTTCTCCACAAAGTTCTCATCATCATCCTATTACCTAGCCATAGGAACTGATTTCATCTGGTTAGCACCACTACACAGCTCGTGGCGCATGATTGTGCGTTTGCTGGCCCGAATCTGCGCGAGGATATGCCTATGCGCAACATGTCACTACGCCAACGTCTGGATGCCTTTTTTCCCCTATTTCTTCATAAAGTTACCTAGTACATGATATTTCGTAGCCATAGGAACTGGTTTGAGCTCATTCGCACAACTACGCAGCACATGACACTCGTATGTGCGTTTACTACCCTACAACTATGCAAAGGTAGGCCTGTGCGCAACGTGTCACTGTTTCAACGTCTCAGTGTTACTTTTACCTCGATTTCTTCACACGGTTCGCTAGTACATCATATTGTTTGACGGTAGAAACTGGATTGAGATCATTCGCACAAGTACACAGCACGCGGCGCATGTCTGTGCAGTTGGTGGCCCGAAACTGTGCAAGCACAGACCTGTGCGCAACATGTCACCGCACGCTCGTTTGGATGTTTTTTTTAACAGTATTTCTTCACACAGTTCTCTACTACCTCCTACTCCCTTGCCGTAGGAAGTGGTTTGACATCGCTCGCACAAATGTAGTTTGATGTGTCGTATTAGTGACACTTGTATAATGACTAACACCAATATTTAGGCATACATGGATCACGTACAATTTAAAAGGTTAGTTCATTAACTACCTGCTTAAAAAGTTTGAAAAAACACACTTAAAGTGCAACAAAAGAATACAGATATCATGTTTGGGCTGGGCAATAATGTTAATAAGTATAGTACAACCTGGTTATTCGTGCGAAGGTTACCGAGTGTACATTGCGCCGGTTGGGAAATTACATAGCATAACTATGTTGGAAACTCCATTCCCTGGCCACGTCACGACTGCCAACAGCGCGCGAGACACACCCTATAGTGGAATATATATTGCACTGCCAGCAAAGCTGGCAGTGCAATCGAGTCAGCAAGCTGACCGCGGGCAAGAAAAAAACTAAAACCCATCCGGATGGCATGCCATCCGAGGGAGCCTCAACCCTAAAATTTTAGGGTTGAGGCTCCCGAATGGCATGCCATCCGGAACCCTGGTTTATTTGTTTTGCCCGCGGGCAGCTTGCTGACGCTGACGGTAGCGCTACCGGGCGCTACCGTCCGCTACCGTCTCCCAAAAGTGAGATGTATTGGCTAATAGGAAACCGCAGAGGTGAACCAACGCATCATTATCCAGCCACGTTCATAGAGCTGCCTCTGTGCTGGATAGGGTGAGGGGTGTCACAGGCGGGGTAGTTGCCGCGTGGCTTTGCATAGGTGGCTAAGTCCCGTGCAATGAACCTGGTTGCCTGGTTGCGTGGTTCATTTCCGTGCTGAGCTGTGGTGCCCCACTCTCGAAACTTCCAATTACCTGTCGTGCTGTATAAGTGAAGATTCCATCTTGACGGTGTGGATTGATCGAGAGCCACATTTCTGCTGCCGTGCTCGTCTGACGGTCTCGACTTAAAGCTCGCGGCCCAAATTGCGGGGCGCGCGTGGCAACCTTAGTAATCCTGACGGGGAGGGGTGTGTGAAACCAAACTCCAAAGCCGAAAACAGAACTTGCGTAAAAAACCACCTGAAAAACACCTGGGTCGACCTTACTAAACTTGTGCAATTTGGGCCGCGAGCTTTAACCAGCTGACAGCATTCGCACTGACGGTTGCGATCTAATCGTACATTCATTTGAGCAGAAACGTGCACCGTCATGTACATCTGACGGCTCCGGACCGTGGGGCTGTCAAGATGCTCGCACCGCACGCGGCGTGGCCAGCCGACCTCGCGCAAGCCAACCAATCATCGGAGGTCGCAACATATTTGCCCGATTTTTTTGCTGACGTTTCACTCCCGAAGAGGAATAGGCGGTCAAAACATTCTCGTGCAAGTTTTGATTCTTCCGAAGTATCATTACACCTGGTATATGAAGCCGTTATCTTCACAGACGATGATATATCGTCGTATACGATGGGGGAAGTGGAAGAAACAAATTATCGGGCAGGGAATGGGCTGACCAGAAGGGTTCAGGGGGTGGGCGAGGAGCTGGAGGGGGTCACGCTTCCATCGCCATTTGCAGCAGAAATGACTGAACCTGAAGCAGATGCACTTGTGAACAACCACCGAGCCCTCTACCAGCAAGCTCTCAAGCGCCGTGAGACGATTGCTAGCAGCGTCGGCAAGACCAAGTGTGTTCACACCCTCTCTGGTGTGCCGGTTCCTCAGAAAAAATCCCGCGCCGCTAAGTCCGGTGGGCAGAAAGGCAAGCGGAGGAGGAAGGCTGGAGCTACTACAGGCAGTCAAGCTGACTTACCTGCTCCCGCGTCGACCGAGGAGGAGCTTGTCACAGACGGGCTCCCGGACCTCCCTCTGCCAGCAAGTTCCCAGCAGCAGCAGCAGACCGTTACGAACCTGAACCCTCTGCCCGCGGGTTCTCAGCAGCAGCTTCTCGCGAGCTCTCTCCCGAACCGTCCTCGTCCCGCGACTCGCCAGCAGCAGCTTTTTACAACTACCCAGCAGCAGCAGCAGCAGCAGCAGCAGCAGCAGCCTGTCGCTGCCCAGCAGCAGCAGCAGCCTGTTGCTTCCCAGCAGCAGCAGCAGCAGCAGCCTGTTGCTTCCCAGCAGCTGCAGCAGCCTGTTGCTTTCCAGCAGCAGCAGCAGCAGCCTGTTGCTTTCCCAACGCAGCAGCAGCAGCCTGTTGCTTTCCCAACGCAGCAGCAGCAGCCTGTTGCTTTCCCAACGCAGCAGCAGCAGCCTGTTGTTTTCCCAACGCAGCAGCAGCAGCGTGTTTCTTTCCCAACGCAGCAGCAGCAGCCTGTTGCTTTCCCAACGCAGCAGCAGCAGCCTGTTGCTTTCCCAACGCAGCAGCAGGAGCCTGTTGCTTCCCAGCAGCAGCAGCAGCAGCAGCAGCCTGTTGCTTCCCAGCAGCAGCAACAGCAGCAGCTGCCTGTTTTTTCCCAGCAGCAGCAGCAGCAGCCTATTGCTTCCCAGCAACAGCAGCAGCACAACCTCGAGTTTCTCGCTGACGCAACCACCGGCGCGCTGGCTGAGGATTTCTCGACGGATAACCGCTCCGCCTTCGACAAGGAGCTGGACGAGGGGCTGGACGAGGAGCAGGACGAGGAGCAGGAAGAGGATGACAAGGAGGATTCTGAGGACGAAGCTGGTGCCGAACAGCATCAGCAGCAGCTTGCTCAGCAGCAGGAACTTGCTCAGCAGCAGCAGCTTGCTCAGCAGCAGCAGCTTGCTCAACAGCAGCAACAGCTGGGCGTCGAACAAAACGGTGCCGTCCGCGGAACACGGTCGGAAGGTGAGTGTATTCTTGGAACATTTGACCTGTTCTATTTTTCCAGCTGTGATGTTAAGTTTTTATTTGATTGTTATTTCATACTGAACTTGTCGTTGGTTCCTATTTGCAGCTGTCAATGCGCACTGGGTCAGACAGAATCGCGCACTGCAGGCGCAGGTTGAAGATCTTAAAGCAACCGTTGACATCCTGCAGATTTCGCAAGTTGAAGCGCAGCAGAAGCTTGCCGCCGCCGACTCTGAGTGCGAAATCCTGCGTTCCCGACTGGGTGAGCTTGAGGCGCAACAGGCGGGCGGGGTGTCGGAGATGTCTTCAGACGGCCCAATTGTCAACCCGGCAAATCTCACAAGGGACAACAATGGCAACGTGATTGTGAAGACAAGCCTCGAAAAGAAGGAGTTTGCGGTAAGTCTTGGTTCTTATGGAACATTCGCTGTTTGACCGTCCGTGTGTTAAATATTCGTGTGCTGGTATTTAGACGGCCCTACCATGGTCATCTGCTTTTAATAATGTTTCTGCTGTTTACCCGTTTATTCGACTGCAGGTAAAGGCTCTCGACACTTTCACGTGGCTGATAACAGACGCGCCAGTGGAGTGCATGGAGTTCTTCCCAACATTCGAAGTCTTCCAACCTCACCTCATCACCAAGTACCAGCTGTGTGGAGTGAATCGCGACGAGTATTTCTACGCGACTGGCGGCAGAATTGAGTTCGAGAAGCTGGTGATGAAGGTCATCAAAACGAAACGTTCAAACACCCACAAGAAGGTTCGTTTCTATGCATGGGGCGCGGGTGGGTTGGTGGATGAGAGCAAGTGGCCGTTGCTGGCGGTGGAGCAGATCATTCCTTCTAAGAAGCGCACGGAAGAGAAGTGGCTGGAAGAATTCAGGCACAGTAAGAAGCACGGTATTAGTGTTTTTATTTATGGTTTTCGAACAGTACACTAATCTACTTGTTGTTTCCTGTGCAGCTGTACTTGGATATGCGTGGCATGTTAATGGCGAAGGAATTCCCTTTGCTAACATTGCTTTTGAGAAGGCTGCTTTGGCTGCATTCTCTGTTGTCACGTCCTCTCTGGTCTACGTGAAGATTCCCATGGTGGCTTACCTTTGTGTCGTGGTAAGTTTCTTGCTTAGTATTTTAACGTTACCTGAAGCTTAGCCACTAACAGCTGTTTCTTGTGCATGCGTGCAGGTTGAAGCCCCCCTTGAAAGCTACAGGCCGGGGAATGGCCAGCCTTCTCTTGGTGGTGTTCCGCTGACCAACAGTAACCTGGTCCGTGCCAAGACTACTGTTGTTGTGGCGGCTCTACACGCCGCGATGGTCAACAATCCCACCTTCTTGAAGCATGATGAACCCAAGGGCTTGGTGCTGGTTTCTGGGAAGGTGCGAATTCTGATTGAAGGATGGGAGCGTGTTTTTCATTGACAATTGCAATATATGACGTTCCATTCGATATTGGTTTTGAATTTTGTAACATATCAAGTTACCAGGTTGCTGGCACAATCCAGACATCTTAATCATATTTAAGAAGTTTCTGAATACAGGAGAAGTAACAGAAATTGTTACGTGTTACGCACTGGTAACCAACACTTTCCTGTTCTTTCGCCTCTGCTGTTGACGCGACGGTAAATCGACTCCAACCACGGTTAACGCGCGGGATGTCACAGTAAATTCCGGTTGATGTAAACCTAGGCCTCGATACTTCTCGGTCGTAACTGGGGGTACTGGGCAACTAATCGAAATTTATGACAAGTCACGCTAGGTCACTGTAGCACAGTTTTCGCGCGTTAACGGTGATCTTGACCCCCCTCTGTTTTCGATGTACATTGGGCAATACCCTTGGTCGTTTATTGCGGTGGGAAGAAACCACAATCTGCACGTCATACATCCCAGGCATGTCGGCGTTTACCACTCAATGCTGCGTTCCCATTTTTCTGATGGGAAGGAAAGGGAAGGGTAGAAAGAGGAGGGAAAGGAAGGGAAGGGAAGAGGAGGGAAGGGAAGAAAAGGGAAGGGAAGAGGAAGGAAGGGATGAGGAGGGAAGGGAAGGGAAGGGAAGGGAAGGGAAGGGAAGGGAGGAGGGAAGGAACGGAAACCCATCTGTTATTATACCTCTTTCTGGAAGATCTCACCTGTTCAAAAGTAACATGTGCAACAGGAGCAGAAGCCGACGAGTCCAATTCCTCCACCAGCTGCTGCCTGCACGCCACGCCGCTGGGTGATCCTGTCCCGGCGACTCCTGTTAGTGTCGACGATGACGCAACAGAAGTCGCTGCTGTGAACGGCAGGAGCGGCAAAATCCCAGCCATATATGACGCAGCGTTGCAGCTCCGCTACAAGCATGAGACGCGGCGCAACGAGTGGTGTTTATAGCGGAGCGGGTGGAAATGGGTGGTGAGAGGCGAGAGGCGAGGGAAATGGGGCGGGATCGCGCTGATCCGCGAGGAACGCAGCCCGTGAGAACACGCGCGAGCACCATGCTGAGTGGCTAGGCTGTTATGAAGCACTACTGGTTGTTTGACGAGTTGTTTGACCTGCGGGAGGGTGTTATGACCGTCTGCAAAACGTGTGGCTCCGAAACGGCAAGGTTGCGCTTGCCACTCGTGCATCTCTAAAATGTACTGACCCAAAAGGGACCCCTAGGTAACTTCCAAGCAAGATTCAGGACATCTGAAAATCTGTCCCAGAAGTTACTTTTGGAACTGACACTTTAGGTTAGCCTGAGGTCAGACAGGCTCACCCAAAAGTGACTTTCGGGTCAGGTACGGGTCAGGTACGGGTAAAATTTTGGCGAGAAAAGTCAGGTACGGGTCAGGTACGAGTTAAGATTTGGAGGGAAAAGTCAGATTTGGGTCAGTTTTGGGTCACACGTGGCCAGCGCATGGCCTGATTACATCCCCTTTATAGTGTGTTATTTTTTACTAATAAGCATTTTTGGTTAAAACTGTATAATATATATATTTCACAATACAACAAAACGCCAAATAACATCAGCATGTAAAAAACAGGGCCTTGTATAGTGGCCCCATAATATAAAAATCACTGCGGTGCTAAAACAACGTGAGAATACAAAACCAAGACACATTATAGGGTGAAAGGCGTTACAAATGACACAACGTCAGCTAAAGAATATAAAATCCAGAACAATTATTTGGCAATTATCACCTTATAATTTGGAACATCACCTTCATTGCTCTGTGCCCCAAAATATGATCAGGCATGGCATAATAAAAATAATCTTCACGTGCTTGTTTCCATGACAGGTTGTTATAAGGGGCAAAAGGTGAAGGCGACGCGGAAGTGGTGGCGATGCAACATAGTTTAACCAAATTAATCTTCACAACATATATATGTCGAAATATATTTGTCATGTTTTATAACTGCTTGTAGTTGTAGTTAGTATAGTTATTTAAACTGTTGTTGGTGGTGCACCTTATTTGGTTCCTATGCTATATGTACTTCGAACCCTATAGTGAAACCATCATTCTCCCAACTTCTCTTCCAACTCACTCGATACTCACCCTAGGTAAAACCCGCTCGACATCCTACTTGGGCCTAGGCTACTAAGCCTAGGCCCTACTTTAATCTACTCGTTCTCATTCTTCGTTCTTTCTTTCGACAATATATGCACCTACATGTAGAGACTAAGAAAAAGCTGACATGAGACAAGCTCACAATAATAAAATGGTGGAAACAACCAACACAAGATCCATCGACAATGATACAAACAAGTGCTTCTGAGGGTGCTGGAGTTGGCGCTGCTGGAGCTGGGGGTGCTACTGGTGCAGGTGCTGCCGCTGGGGGTGCTGGTGCTGTACCTCCTGGTTCTGGAGGCGCTGCGTGGCCGAGGCGGTGCTTCGTTCCGCTCCTTGAGCAGGTTCTTGGTCTTCTGCCCTCTACTGGTCCTGCTCCTTCCTAAGAGTGTCCACAGCCTGTCCAGTCTGAGTCACAGTTACAGCCCGCCTCCCCCCTGCCTGCTCCTTCTCCCTACACTGGTCCTACTGGAGGTCTTGCTGAGCGTCGTGAGCCTGCGTCTCATCCGGCGTCGCCTGTTCGTGCTGCTCTCATTAATCGTTGTGTTCCGCGTCCGCATCCTCCTGCTGTCCTGGGCACACACCAGATGGCACTGCGTCCTTCCACTGCTCCACTGCGTGCCCCTTTGCCGTCTCCTCTAGAGTCCTCTCTTCCTGCTCTTCCTGACCCGGAGTCTGACTCTCTTCGTGCTGCCAGCCCTACTGTCACGCGTCTCCTGGCTACTGTTGTCACTGACCCTTCCTTTGGGTCCACTGCTGCGTCTGCCCTAGTTGCTGAGCTCGTCGATAGAGGGTCCCTACTCCTCTCAGTGGGAGTCAGCCATGGACGCACAGATGGCTTCCTAGAAGTCCACAGGCACCTACGTCGACGAGGTTCCCCCTCCTGGGGCGAACATCGTTAGCGGCATGTGGATTTTCAGGGTGAAGCGGCCGTCGGGTTCTCCGTCTGTCTTCAAGGCGCGTTACGTGGCTCGAGGCTTCAGTCAGCGGCAGGGAGTTGACTACTTTTAGACCTTCTCTCCCACACCAAAGATGACCACTCTTTGGGTGCTGCTGCACATAGCCGCTCAGCGCGACTACGAGCTTCACTCTCTTGACTTCAGCACTGCTTTCTTACAGGGCAGCCTGCACGAGGAGATCTGGCTGCGCCGCCCACCTGGCTTCACAAGGTCGTTTCCTCCTTGTACCTAGTGGAGCCTCCGGCGGCCAGTCTACGGTCTCCGCCAGGTGCCCCGTGAGTGGCACGACACACTGAGGACTACTCTTGCGGCTCTTGGGTTTGCTCCTTCTACAGCCGATCCGTCGCTGTTTCTACGCACCGACACCTCTTTGCCGCCGTTCTACATCCTCGTGTACGTCGACGACTTGGTCTTTGCTACTACTAACACTGCTGGACTTGCCCACGTGAAGTCCGAGCTGCAGAAGAGACACACGTGCACACACCTGGGTGAACTGCGCAGCTACCTTGGCTTGCAGATCACCTGGGACAGAGCACAGCGCACCATTACCCTGACTCAGTCACACATGGTGCAGCAGGTCGTTCAGCGCTTCGACTTCACGTACTCCTCGCCTCAGGCCACTCCTCTGTCTACTCGCCACTCGCTCTCAGCTCTGGCTTTGGATGAGTCCGTAGAGCCGAGTGGCCCGTACCCAGAGCTTGTTGGCTGCCTCATGTACCTTATGACCTGCACTCGACCTGACCTTGCATACCCTCTTAGCATCTTGGCACGCTATGTTGCTCCCGGGAGACACAGACCTGAGCACATGGCTGCAGCAAAGAGGATGTTGCGCTACTTGTGCAGTACATCGGGCATGGGACTCGTGCTTGGAGGGCGGCGTTCAGCGGTCCTCACTGGTCACGCAGACGCTTTATGGGCTGACGACTAGGCTACGCAGCGGTCGTCACAGGGTTACACCTTCAGCCTTGGTTCCAGCTCTGTTTCGTGGCGGTCTACCCGCTCGTCTTCTGTTCTCGGCTCGAGATGTGAGGCTGAGATCTACGCGGGGGCCATGGCTTCACAGGAGCTACGCTGGCTCACCTACCTGCTGACTGACCTAGAAGAGCCGCCTCGTTCTTCTCCAGTTCTGTAAGTAGACAACAAGGCCATGCTGGCCTTATGTCGGGAACATAGGCTGGAGCACAGAACGAAGCACATTGCTCTTCGATACTTCCTTGCTCGTGAGCTGCATCAGCGTGGTCAGCTGCGCCTTGCTTATGTGGCCTTTAGGGCCAACACTCCTGATATCTTTACCAAGGATGCCCTGTGATCATCAGCGCTTTTGTACCATGCTAGGTTTTGTGCCTACTTGGCCTTACTTGCTCACTTCTTGACCTTGCTTGTACTGTGATCTATTTATACCTGCACTTGCTTGTTTACCTTTATATATAATCCTGCATGTGAACTGGCCTTGTGGCCTTTAACTTGTGTTCGGAATGTGTGGTGACGTTGTGATCCACCCTGAGCTTGCCTTGCTCAACTAGTCTTGTGACCCCTTGTTCTCCCCCACTATGCCTATGGTGGTGTGTCAAACATTTATGCTATAGTCTTTCTAGGTTGTAGTGGGGTAGACAGTATGGGGTACAGTTCTCTAGGGTTACATATTTGTACCCAACTCATTTCCTAGTCCATCATTCCTCATTCTCTTCACACTGTGATGAAACTCGCTTTCTGCCACAAAAAGGTTCATAACGGGTAGCAATAAAAAATAAGAATTGGAATCGTAA